TTCATGAGTGAACAAAATTTCACTTCAATTTTGACAGCCTCGATGAACATTCATGTCCTTAAAACAAAGAGTCTGGAATAGTAAAATGTCATTTCTCTCTCTCTGGGCTTAATCCTGACCTTTGCCTAAAGCCTGAATAAATGGGTTTTGTAAATGAATTCTTCATAGTAGCTAGTGGAAGGAAAACTAGATCAAACAGTGGATGTATAGGGGATATGCCATGTCCACAGCTAAAACCTCAGATCTGCAATATGTAGGTGGGACCTTTGTGTTTTGCACAGATGCTAATCCACTGGCCACGCTCTCTACCGCTTGCTCCACAAAATCTTCTTCACAGAGGGGCAGAGGAAAACATTGCAACACAGAACTATATTTTAGACTTGGATAGGAAAAAGTGTCCACTCCCATAACTGCTATCTAGCCAGGCCTGTATAACATAATTGTATCAATTCCCATATCTTTCAGGCCTTCCATGACTAGTGTTCACCCCTTAGTGAAATTTTGTAAAGAATGATTCTACAAACTGTGTATTTCACAAGATAGTTTCACTGCATCTTAAGGCATGACACACAATTAATTTATAGCATATGATTAAAGTAGCTTGTAGTCATTTGAAATAATTGAATGCCATTTAATTTAGACAACATAGGGTACTAGACAAACTAATTTGGTACAAAATAATACCTTTAATTATTATTTAATAATAATAAAATTATCAGATTATTAATTGCTGATAATTACCATCTATATATTAATATACTATAAATTACCATTTTTGTCCTATTTAATACTATTTTCCTATTATATTATTTTATTACTTAGTCTGGGGTAAAATAAAGTTAAGAAAAATACAAATATATGTACAGAATTTTTCAAAACACTTTTTTTGCTTGGAAAATTATAGTGTCTGCTCCAAAACATGTTAGTATATTTTCATGGGGGTTGTTGTGATTTAAATGTGTGCTTATTGATCCAATCCAGCAATGTTTAAGCAAGTTTGTCGCACCCCTGACTTCCTTTAAAATGGAACATTTCATTTCACATTTTGCATCAACTGTAATGTTTGAAGGCATATAGGTATTTTTTGGGGAAAGTAAATGCATATGCTGCCAATTATCTAACAATAACTCAGGTGTCACCATTTTGTTAATAATGCCAAAATAAAATTAAACCAAGCCTGATTACTTGTTTGACAAAAGCAATATATGTTACAATTGCTAAAACTTATTTAAAGCAAACAAATACCTTATTTCATAAAAAAAGAGAAAGAACAAGAACAGAAATTAGGATGGTAAGCAAGGGGGTACTCACACAACTGAAATATGTTAAAAGATGAATTATAAATCCCCGAAATAAGATTTTATGAAGGAGATGTTGACAAGTCTCTTCCTAAACTGAAGTGAACAGACAACAAATTATTATGGGAGTTCTTCAGTTTAGTATCTTGCTGATTTTCACATAGGCTGCATTGTAAATTAAAAGGTAGAAAATCATTCAACCACTGGCATTTAATAAGGGCTATTAAGAGAAGAGTCCTAAGTGTCAATCTGTAATATAACAGCTTTATCAAGCAAAATAAAAACTGGAGAAGAAGAGGGAATTGTTGAATACATGTATTCTGTACTGGATGAATGCAGACTTTCTGAGTATGTGCAGATTTCACTTCCAAGAAATAGACTTCTACTATGCCTTGTGATTTAAGCCACACATTTAGTTTTATCTTTTAAAAAAAACAATTAAAAATGTCTGACATTCTAATCTATATATTTGAGTTCACTCACTGCCTCTTTCATAATCACTCATATGTGGCCAATGATAAGAATTTAATTATCATTCCACCTGCATTGTGTATGTGGGCATATGGACATGGCATGCAGAGCTTTTCAAATGATGGCTATTGCGGCAGAGCTCCAAGTTGGGCTCATTGCAATCATTTTTCACTTTTGGATTTTGTACCTGGGGTTAGCAGACACCTCATTACAGATAGTCAGTTGCCTTTCTTTTTTTTCTAATGCTCATTCCTTCGACATCATAACATGTCAGCAACAATAAAATAGATTTACCATTATACCTCTACTTAGTTGCCAGTGTTATTCATTTCACAAGTGGCATTTTCACTGTTTCTTTTCAACCAAGTCATTCACCTGCTGAGAGCCTGACTTAGAAAAAAGAATGAATAATGCATTTTAGATTCAGTTCACATTAATATAGATCTGAGACATATTTAGTTCTATGAAAAGAAGAGCTTTGATCTTGAGAGCAGTGAATTTTAAATGTTTATAAGTGTACGTTTTTCATAATTTCTGGGTTGTTGAAGCATGCATTTATATGCATATATGCACAGCTATGTTTTCTTGCCTGACAATAGCTTTATATGTCCTTGTTTCAGATGGAACATTTCAGTATCAGACAATCTCTTTACCTTTTTTGGTGCAGGTATTCTATTGTCCACAGCACGTTTTTAAAAAGATTGTTCAGCATCAATGCACACAATGGAACAATCATTATAACTAACCCTCTGGACCGAGAGACAGCTGCTTGGCACAACATAACTGTTACAGCCACAGAAATGAGTGAGTAAGGATTTAAGGAACACTATGTGTTATACCCTGCATGCACTTACTGTAATTATTATCAGAATATCCCTTCTTTTTAAACAGAGAATACATGCTACTTTTTCATTATATTGCTGTTTCTTGTTACATTAAGGAGCATTATTAAAATGACGAGTTCAATGGAAGCAGGATGTTTTTGAGCTCCAAGGTCTTGTGCTCGTTCATAAAAGATGACCTTATAAAAAAAGAAAAAAGAAAAAAAATTCTAATGAGATGGAGATTCTAACACTTTCAAGTTACACTGAAGCATATGAATTGCTCCCCCGGTGCAAGATCTTATGTTAAATTAGACCCTGGTTAATTTCACACCAGATTTTTGACTAGTGTAAAATTAGCCAGGGTCTAATTTAACACCAGTCAAAAACCTGTATTTCAAATTAATTGTTAATGTCGAGCCTAAATCAGCTAGACTTCTCTACAGTGACAATTAAATCTGGGAAGCATCCTTTATATAGATTTCAGCTGTCAGTTTTGTCTGAAAGTCAAATGCAAATTGCCTCTGTTTATGCTTTCAGTTATCCAGCTGTCCTGTCTTTGGGACAATATTGTGGAAAATGCTTGCTTGCTAATTTGGAACTAGATGTGACAGAATTTGTATCTTCTTCATTAATATTACCATCTATAGGAAGAGAATAGGTCAACAAAATAGGAGGATATCAGTGGATCAACTAGTTATTGCCATGATTTTTAAAAACTAGCAAGTGGTTTAGACATTGTGTCATATAAATTGGTTCTTTGTGATGACTATTTAGAAACATGAGTTAGAAAAGGTGGGTGAGAAAAAATATTTTATTGAACCAACTTCTTGTCTCCGGTGAAAGAGACAACCTTTAGAAATACGTTAATCCAATATATTCCCCATAAGGAAGCATTTCCTGTGAATATATCAAAATAGTAGATGCAATGGCAAGCTTAATATAGAGAAGTTGGGAGCGATATTTACTGCAATCTTCATTTTCTATTTGAGAATTGATAGTCTTGTTTGACTGTTTGGTTTATCTGAGAATTTTTAAACACACATGTATCATCTTTTTCACTCTGTTAGACAGTTGGCGGGTGATATGGTACAATAGAAAGCATCTCTGGCATATTTGTCATATCTTGAATAGCTCTATGAAAACACTTCTGGATGACTTCATTCTAGGCTTCTGACTTTTCTGTTTAGCTAAACAATAAAAAAGGATTAAACTATACATTGCAACTGAATAAATGTCTCTGGAAACCAAAAAATGTCAAGGCTTTTAGTGTCAAGAAATATTAACATATGTATTGTAAGAGGAGGGAGCCTTTCTAATTTCACTATATCTATTCTCTAGGGGTACATCTACACAGTGGGGCTATTTTGGAATACCAGAAGTATCCTGAAATAGCTACCCCGCATCTTTGAACACACCCCCTATTTCGAGATAGGTCTCAAGATAGCGTATGCAGTGTTTCAGCATTCCTGTAACGTTCCTTCCACAAGAGTTAAGGGATATTTCAAAATAGCACATTATTTTGAAATTTGGTGCTGTGTAGACAAGCCAAATTTCAAAATATGCTATTTCAAAATTCAATCAAAATAAGATACACAATTTGCATACAGCAAATTGCGTATCTTATTTAGAGTTTAGGGTATTGTATAGACACCCTACAGAGTTTAGGGTGTTATATTATCTTTAATGTTGTATTATCTATTATCTATTATCTTTAGTGTTGTATAGAGTTTAGGGTGTTATATTATCTTCAATGACAATAAGGTTAAAAAGTTGACATCCAAAGATATTAAAAGTGTATCACATTGGTTTGGATATTTTTCATTAATAATAAGTGACATTTAACACAAGAAATATAATCATAACACATATCCTATGTACACTGTAATCTTCTCTTGAAAAACAAGCTATGGGTGAAATTTGGACATAATTGATAAAACTACCATTGACAATAGTGTAACCCAGATTTAATCCCATATGGACCATATATGGCTATAGCCCCTTTGCACCAATCAGGTGGCATAAATCCACCTTCAGATCCCATAACTATCCTGGCATACTTCCATCCCCCACCATTTCTCAGCATAGGAGGCAGAGGGGCACAGGGAAAGTTTCACAGCAATCTTCCATTGATGTAGGTCCAATAAGGAGCATGAATCAATAGTGCAATAAGGGGTAGGTCTGCTAAATTCATGGCCTGATTTTCAAAAAGGCTGCTCCCTTTTGAAGTCAATGGGAACTTGAGGGAATTTGGGATGCCTAAAAGCCAAGCTATTCAGACTAAGTTAAGGATCTTCCTGTAATTCCAGACACAATTTTTGCCATTTAAATCAAGTGTCTATCTTGAAAACATTTTCCACTCCTCCAGCCCAATGCTCAAACCGAAAATCTGGCCCTAAAAAAAAAATTGTGGGAATTTTGCCACTGACTTTGGACTAGTCTGGATTCCATGTGTAACATCTACTTTGTTTCTAATTTAAATTAATGCTTTTAGTCCAGTACGATTCTTGTTTGTACACACACACACACACACACACACACACACACTCATTTCTCCCAGTCTGATAACAATGCCACTGCCAACACATAGCATGACAGTACTCATTCACAGCAACATAGCAGTCTCTGGGAAGTTTACACCATATTGCTCCTCTCTCATACCATTGGCTCTGGAATGACTCTAGGCAGTAGTGCACAGTCCTCATCCTCTTTCAGCCATGGTGAGGCACATCTCTGGTGAAGGAAGCCCTCTGCCTCTGACTTGACTGAACTATTACACTCCATGGTAGAATCTTCCAAAAATGAAACAACTCTGTTTCTCTTTCTTTCTTACAGATTTTAGTAACAGCTATAAATTAATTTAAAATCTTTTTTGTTTACATGCAATGCCTGAGGTATCTTTACTTGGTTATGTTGAGTATAAATAACTGATTGTTTTTCTGAGAGTCCTCTCTGTCTTTCCAAGTGCACATTCTTCTTAGCATCATGATAAAACCTGGGCTTTTGATTCCTAGTTCACTATGATTGGCATTGAAAAGTCCCAAACTTCTTTCCTTCCCTGCACCTATTAGATAGGAATTTATCAGTAGGGACAATCACGTTATCCCTTTAGCAAAATTTGTTTTGCTTTCTGAGTGATTGGACCAGTTTGGTCTCCAATAATTACTGTTGCAACCTTGATTTCTTCTTAAAAAGCCTTTCTGGATACCAGCCACTCTGTTACCATTGACCTCCAACTGTCTTGGAACCTATCCGTCTCTCTTCTTCCTCTCTTCATTCAGACTGAATTCTCCTTAGTTACTGTTCTGCGTAGCATACCATAGGAGCTTAGCAATATAGCTATGCTCAGATCCAGATATTCTCCTTTTTTTTCCCCAAGGGATAACTGATGATACAAGTGGTGCATCTTTCTGCACAGGTATTTAAGCCTTTCCCTCTCTGTGCAATGCAAAGCAAGGGTCTAGCAAGATGTCACCCAACCAGTACCTGGCTGTGTCCAGACTCAGGGTTTTTTTTGGGAAAAGTAGCCTTTTCCCGAAAAAACTTCCCCTGCGTCCAGACTCAAGCCGCGTTCTTTCGAAATAATTTTGAAAGAACGCGGCTTTTCTTTCGATGGCGGTACACCTAATTCTACGAGTAAGAACGCCTTCTTTCGAAAGTTCCTCTTTCGAAAGAAGGCGTTCTTCAATGTAAATAGGGCTTCCTCGAAAGAGAGCATCCAGACTCGCTGGGTGCTCTCTTTTGAAAAAGCGGATTGCTCTTTCGAAAGATCCGCCTGTAGTCTAGACGCGATCTTTCGAAAGAGGCTCTTTCGAAAGATGCTTTCGAAAGAGCCTCTTTTGAAAGAAGCCTGCAGTCTAGACATAGCCCCTGTGACTGTAAAAAGAACTATGTTTTCCCCTCTACTTCAGTTAACATGCCCAGGATAGCTATTACACAGTTGTGACAAATAATTCAACAGTATATTTCCTCTCAAAAAAATCTCTTTTGTTCTCTGAGGAAGGTGAAACCCCCCTCATGTCTAGCTGCCAAACTACAATGCGGGGAAAGACCTTCCCAGCTCCTGAAAAGGGCATTGACCAAAAATTCAGAGCACTCTTTTGGGAATCTACCAAAAACTCAATGGAAGGGTAACTTGGGAAAAAAGACAGGTGTGAATGGCAGTTCATTGACAGAAGGAGCAATATAAATTGACAGGAGGAGCAACTTTATATACAATATGATGGGGACTAATTTGGCTACAACAACTGAAGAGAGATCTTGGAGTCATTGTGGATAGTTCTCTGAAAACACCCACTCAATATACAGCAGAAGTCAAAAAGACAAATAGAATGTTAGGAATCATTAAAAAAGGGATAAAGAATAAGACTGAAAATATCTTATTGACTCTATATAAAACCATTGTATGCCCACATCTTCAATATTGTATACAGATGTGGTCTACTCATTTCAAAAAATATATATTGGCATTGGAAAAGGTTCAGAAAAGGGCAACAAAATAAGTAGGGGTTTGGAACGGGTCCCATATGAAGAGAGATTAAAAAGACTTGGACTTTTCAGCTTAGAAAAGAGAAGACATGGGAGGCTATGATAGAGGTCTATAAAATCATGACTGGTGTGTTATTTTCTTATTCCCACAATCTAAGAACTAGGGGTCACCAAATGAAATTAATAGGCATCAGGTTTAAAACAAACAGCTATTAGCCAGGATGGGCAGGAATGGTGTCTCTAGCCTCTGTTTCTCTGGAGGTGGGTGTCAAGAGAGGGATCATGTGACAATTACCTGTTGTGTTCTCTCCCTCTGGGACATCTGGTATTGGCCACTGTTGGCAGACAGGGTGCTGGGCTAGATATGTTCATATAAATCTCCCAAGCTCATACTTATGTTAGGTGCCATCAGGCCAAAGTGTACTCATGAAGCCTATAAATGGGCCAGTCAGGCTCTGAGGCCAGGGACTAAAATCCCACCATCAAACCTCCCTGTTCCTGGGCTCTGTGGTCCAGGAATATTCATGGTCGTGCTGAACCATGGATGTTGCTGGACTAGAGAGTCCCAGTTAAGGGAGGTACAACCTGTATAATGGTTCTAGTCACTGGAAATATTATGCTTAAGCCCCTGATGCAGTAGAGCACCTGACTTTAAGCATGTTAGTATTCCTGTTCACTTTCATGGGACTATTTATATGCTCAAGCACTTTGCATATAAGTAGGTATGTTTATTAGGGTGCTGGTGATATGTACATTCTCTTAGTATAGGGTTGAGCCAGTAATGTAATCCGTGTAGTCAGTTTCTATTGGACCAGCAGCTGGACACTCCAGTGAGGTGCTCAGAGGACATGGGAGTTGCAGCAAGCCTATTCATAGCCTTCAGAGGGACAGCAAAGCCTGCTTGGCTTGGAGTGGAGTGCTTGTACCACCTGTGGCCAATGGAGTCAGGGAGCTGATACATCACCGGCACACACCAGGCTTCCTCAAGCTAAAGGCTGTTGGTGTGTGGTGTGATGAAGCTCAGATTTTGTTTAATTGGTCATGTGCCTCCAGGAGGATTATGCTTGCATCAGAAGCATAGCAAGGGTCACAGCCTACTGATCCACAGTCATCATAGACTAGGAAAGGGTTTGGTGGGAGAATTATCATAGGCTCTATTGTCCCTTCAGGCTTAGTAGGAACAGTTTAATTTCCTGTCCTAATAGGGGCCTGTCTTTCCTTCTGAGAGGATGCCTCTGCATTGGATTGGGGATGGTTGGGGAAAATCCAAGCCTGCTCTCTACTCTGAGTTCCAGCCCAGTGACCCTAGTGGTAGGAACAATTGGCAGCTTTCTCTTCACTTCCCGAGCCACTGTTGATTCTTAAAGTTTTTTCCTCCTTTTATGTAGGAAACCAAGAACAAATTTCAGAAGTATCTGTGTATGTTCAAGTTCTTGATGTTAATGACCATGCTCCAGAATTCCCCAAACACTATGAGATTTATGTGTGTGAAAATGCAAGATCTGGACAGGTAAGAGGCTGGAAAGTTGTTGTGTAACCATATTGTGTCCCTTTACAGTAAACTTTAACTTAAGGTATTTCTGTTTGCTTTAATCCAAATTAAATGCAAGTTGTATTACAAATTCAAGTTGTATTTTATGTGGATTTCTTGTTTTTTTTTATTGGCGGATGTAGTTTAAAATTAATAGTTGGGAAGATTGAATTTATGGTTCACAAGATGGTGTGTGTTTGAGTGTGGGGGTGTGCATTAGTGTGTCTAATACTCATATATAATAATAGCAATATCCCTGGATAATAATGAACATAATCTTATATAGGTAGAGAAGGAAACTGGTAAAAAAAAAAGAACTCTAATAACATTGGTTCTTATACAGTTTAATGTTACAGAGACAAAGTCCTACTGGGAATGTATTGCAATTATGAATATTATTTTGAGAGGATTATTCATTATTTACTGGAATATAGTTAGATTTAAATCTTTAATTATATACCTCAATCCAAAATGCACAGAAATAAATTGTAGTCTTTCAGTTCCTATTAGCGTATTTTAGATTAACTAAAAATGCAATGATATCATTCTAGTAGAAAATATATTGTACAAACAAATATTTATATGAGCATTTTTTCAGTAGTTCATAATGCATTTTCCCCTCAAATTTACTGCTGGCACATAATGTAGTTGTGCGCTAAAGTGTTCTGACTCAAAGATGGCTTCTTTCTGAGAGTAGGAGAAGAAATTTCTGAATTTCCATATAATTGTGTAGTGCTCTGGAATCTTCTGGGGAGGGGGGAAGGACTGCTGAAGACAATATACATATCTCACCACACCTATTTGAAGTAGGAAAATAACATTTGCAATGTTTTACAGATGGGAACACTATAGAACAAAGATCTATTATGTGACTTGTTCAACATGACGAACACTCTCGGAAGGAATAATAAGAAATTGTTACCAAAATGCATAATTATCACAGTCAATGAGTTTGATGTTTTACTTAACTTTAAAAATGAGATTGTTATGGCTAATGTGAAACATTTGATCTTTCTTTACTTTTAGCAGATTGTTTCTCTGTTTTTCTAGACTACCTATATGTGTGTGTGTGTGTGTGTGTGTGTGTGTGTGTGTATGTATACTCCTAAAACACTATTATATATTTCCATTTTCGTCAAGAGTCTAGAGTTAAAAATAATATTTTGATGACCACTGAACAGATCAATTTACATTTTAGAATTTATATATGGTGAGTATAACTGCAAGGCGATTCAAGTTGCAAGCTTTGAACTATGATGCTCTTACCTATCTAGGTTCCAATCTACAGTGCACTGAATTCAGTGGAATGCTTTCATACTCTAAGGGCTTGATCCATAGACCATTGAGATAAATGAAATCTTTCCTTTGATTTCGGTGGGCTTTCATCAGTCGGTCATAAAAAATGCCTTTTGGCCATGTTCTGCAATTAACTCTATGGTGCCCTGGGGTTGTCCACACATTGTCAGTTGTAGATTAACACTTTTGGGGCCATCATGATAAGTTGGGGAGCTTGGTGTAACTTCTGTCCTATTGTTGTCTGAAAAAGATGTTGTGAGATATTTTCAGTGAGGTATTCCTACCCATGGAAATTGCTTTCTTCCTTAGCCAAACATTGCTGGAGTTTACTTTCATGGGGCACTAGAAAGATTACCTATATTCTCAGGCCTTTCAGGATGTGGAGAAGTTATTGAGGGGTGAACAGTTCCTTAAGCTGTGGTACTTGGAGGATTATATTGTTGATATCAGTCCAGTTTGTAAGTGAAAATAAAAAGCAAATACATACAAATACATTATTTTGCATGATTCAGTGTCAACAGCATAAATTGGTCATATTTTAAAAAATGAAGTAACTGTTATAAAAATTAATCATAACATAAAAATGCCCTTTTTGCTTATCCAAACTCAAAGGCAGTGGGGTGACACTGTAGCTTATACCTAAGAATAGAGCTAACTCTAAATTACATTTTATTTTCTTTTTGCCAAAAAAACCAACATTATTACAAAGTTCTCAGTCTATTTTTAGCAAATTACATTTGCTCTCAATTTTTCCTTATTAAGTTATATTTCCTTTTGAGGGTTATAGATATCTTTGTTGTAGCCCCTGGAAGTGGTTCAAATAAAAAAATTGCATTTGGGTCTTTGGGAGTATAATTTGAAAAGATAGCTTGACAATAAAAATGAATGTAAAAGAAGATAGATTTTTTTTGCTCTGGGGGTCTAACTCCATCCATCAGGTTTATCGGACATTTTGAATGGATTTTTCATTATCCATTTTATGTTATAGTAGTTCTGCACCTTCCTATAATCCACACATCAGCTGCATAGGAGCCAAGAAGGCAGCTTCCTTTGCACATCGAGAAACCACTTTCACTGCACTACCAGCATTAAATCCATTTCTTTCAAAATAACTTGAGCATGAAAAGTGTTATATAAAATAGAATACTATCCTATTATAGCTATTGCTATCATCAGACCTAATAGTAAACCATGAGTCTGTTGGATTCTCTTTGGAGTCACATTGGATCTCTTTGACCTTACAATTATATATATAAATAATAAGCTCATCCATTTTAAGAACATGTTGCCCACGTTGGGACTTTTTTCTTTGTTGTTTTTAATATAGAATTCAATAGATTTTGTAACTACTGTACCAAAATCTCTAAAATGTCCACTAAACAAAAATGGACCAAATATATCCATGGTGTAAGACCAAAGATGTCATGCCAAAAAAGAATTTGGCCTTCTCGTTGGTCTTTAATGAATTGATTCTAACTCAAAACTGAGGACCACATCAAATGACTTTCTAGGATAGAGTAAATGAGTTGAGCATCCAGAAGGTTTCTAGTTAAATGAAATTTCAGTTAAATTCATTGTGAATCCTAGATTTTCTTTATATCGGGGAAGAAGCAGATTTCAAGCAAAGATAAACTGCTCTGAGTTCTCTTACATTTTGAATTAGTGCTGTTCTCTCTAATGTGTATTTGTTTGGCATGAATTCCTATAATTTGAGGATCACATATGAACTGACTTTGATTTTGTGGTTTCCCTGGTAATTTAAATGTATTAGATCCAAAAGCACAGATTATTTAATCTGCACTTTTGGTTAGAGATCAGGAAAAAAAGCAAGCATTTACACAACTAATTATCATATAATAAAATAGCCAGTAGTTATAACGAAAAAGAAGAAAATTTGTGATATTAGCTCCCTATAAAATACAGTGCTGCACTCACATGCATGCAAGTCCCCCTCAAAAAGAATACCAAGTTATAAATAAAACTGTATGTACATGATTCAGGTTGAAAATCAGCAGTTTTTAAAAACAGACCATTCCTAACAAGCCATGTATTAAAAAAAATGAGATCAGGAACAAGAAAATGATGGGTAGGACAACATTTATTATTTTATCTTGGTGTGTCTATTGATCATGTACAAGTAGCACATGAATAACAATGCTAAGAAAACAGGAAGGAAGAGTAATGGGTATATCTCCATAGAGAATAAAGGAAAATGGAATCAAGTGTAGGCACTTCCTCCTGCTCTAATTAGATCTGCTGATGCATGGGAATCCAGCTTCTGGTGCATATTATGGACCAAGCTGCAATATTGTAATTATGACCACTTAAGCATAAGATTTCCTGATCAGGTAGTTGAGGCTGACCTTGTAGGATGTGTTCATAGAAAAGTTGTCTAAAAGTGGAAATCATGTCAATAAATTTTAACCAGTTAATTGTAAATGAATTTCAAGCAATGAATGTCAAACAATATGATGGATGACAATGGATAACAGGTTGGAAACATTTAGCAAAGTTCTGGTAGGCTCATGGGTCACACAAACTGACAGCTCAATCTACCTCCAACAAATTTGGCAAGAGGAGCTGAACTTTTATGTTAGGAATCAGTGAATTTGGCTTCGTAGACCTTGATTCACAAGCAGTTATTATAAAGCTGTGATGCTGCCTTCACTGGTGAGGTACCAGCCTGTCCCAAGTTCGATGCAAACAAGTCTAGAGAAACTAGAAAAAACAGATCTTTGTTTGTCTTTTGGGATCATTTTTAGTTCACCCTTAGAAAAATCAGAGCTGTCTTTTGCACTCATAATCATTTATAGTCTTATCAGAGTAGTGTTGATTCCTAGTAGAAATGACCCAATAGAAAATAAAAAGTAAGATATTTCCCTGCCTATACATTAAAGCTATGTCTACACTACATGCTTTGCTGGAAGAGACAATGCAAATGAAGCGCAGATTAGCATTTTCTCATGCTTCATTTGCATAATTTCTTCCAATATGTTTTTGTGCAAAAACAAGCAGTATGGATGTTTCCTTTTTGCACAAAAACCCTGGGAGAGGCATACAGATATAGTACGAAAAGGGGTTTTTGCTCAAAAAGGAAACGTCTACACTGCTTGTTTTTGCGCAAAAATTTATCAGAAGAGATTATGGAAATGAAGAGTGAGAAAATGCTAATCTGTGCTTCATTTGCATTGCCTCTTCCAGCAAAGCATGTAGTGTAGATATAGCCTTAGAGTATCCCTTCTATTCAAATGTGAAACTCACAAGATGCATGTATATGCTTAGCATAATCATAAAGAGACAGACTTCTTTTTTCTCTCTTTTTTAAAAATAGCACAGTCCTAAACAAGGAAACAAACTGGAAAAACTTAAACAACAATGAATAGTCTAGCAGCACCTTAAAGACTAACAAAACATGTAGATGATATCGTGAACTTTTGTGAGCACAACCTACTTTTTCATCTAGGCTATTTGTTGTTGCTGAAGTCTTTCCAGTTACAGACTAACACGGCTACCCCTCTGAAGGAAACAAACTGTTATTATTCCAAACTGAAAATGAACTTGTCAAAGAAGTTTTGATTAGTGATAACTGACACTGTGTGGAAAACATATACAGATACACACATTAATTTGTATGTTATTTATCTAGCTATCTCTATCTGAATTAATAGTGAAATAACAAACCAAGTCTATTGACGTGAAACTGCAGAAATTTTGAGAATTCCAAGCATGATGGGTTTGTAATGTTTTGTTTCCTGATTAGATGGCTAAGTTACTAATGCAATTGCAAATTGAGAGTATCACAATCAAAAATATAATTAATAACTTGTGTGTTGTTATCAATCTTCAGTGAGTGCCACGTGACCAGACTGTATTGACTCTATGGAGCTCACCACTAGATCAGTATCTTGCTTAGCTACATAGTTATTTAATCATGGAACTGACTGACTGTCATGTGACCAGGTTTGCAATCAAAAGCCAAAACATTAAGGCTCAAAATCAGTCAATTTTTCCTGAAACTCACTTCACTACAGTTCAAAAATCAATGGAAAATGACCATGAAGCCAACATGAACCTAACCAAATTGTAATTTATTTTAGAATTTAGACAAATATTTGTGGAATACACGTGGCCAAACATCTATAGGCAGGGGCGGATATAGGGCAGGGTGAACGGGGCGGCCACCCCGGACCCTGTGCTTCAGAAAGCCCTGCGCATGCGCCGTAGCAGCACGGCGCATGCGCATGGTGTCACTGCACATGCCCCGTGGCAAAGGGGGGGAATTATGCTGCCCGGGGCCCCGCAAAATGGTCATCTGCCCCTGTCTATAGGCATGGGAATTTTTACTCTCAAACAGGCTGAAATAGCCTCATTAGGCTGTTAGGTATATGACAAAATAGCATGAGGAAGCTGGACCACTGTTTCCTCTATTAGTGATGTACATAAACAATGGACTTTATTCACTAGTTCTGTTAATATCTATTAATATCTGTGAGAATTACATTACTTTTTAAAAGATATTCTTGCCTCTATTCTTACAGGCATATTGAGGGAGATATTTTCCCTTCTATGCTTGGGGCTAGTTATCACTGTCCCTCTTTACTTATTTGAATCACCTAGGATGCTCTCTAGTTTTGGAAAAAAAGAGGAAACATCCCATTATTGCTAACAGTTATGCAGAGGACGCCCTTTTTAGATGGGAGGACTCCTATGCATTAGAAACCAAGTAAAATATAAATATATTATTCACAATGGACATGACATTTTCCAAATAATCAAAGATTCAGGTCTGTATTTTTGGTTTGGACCCATATACTTTAAAAATTGTCTGTGAGAATGAAAAAACAAACAGACTTTTGTAGAGATCCAGGAAGATCTTCATTGAATGTTGCCCTCAGTGATGCATAATTCACTGAACAGAAACTAATTATAGTGAGAAATATTTGCTCATTGTATGCAGAAATATTGTTAATTATCGAAAGTTTCAGAGGGGTAGCCAAGTTAGCCTGTAACAGGAAAAACTTATAAAACAACAAATAGTCTAGTAGCACCTTAGAGATTAACAAAACATGTAGATGATATCATGAGCTTTATCAGGCACAATCCACTTCTTCAGTTCTGAAGAAGTGGGTTATGCCCGATATAGCTCATGATTCCACTCTTATTATATTAGCTTCAACTTGAAGCTTTATTTACAAAGATGGAAGGTATTATATTCACTGCTAAGACACTAATTTTGACTTTATTCTCTTACAAATGACAATCAGCTTTGACACATTTGTAAATAAGGCCTGTTTTGTTTCCTTGAAAACCAAAACCAGAACTTCCACAATCAATCTATCATAATTTCTAGAATCAACAATTCAACACATGAATGTGTCACCATCTCTCACAGCCACTATAATACATCAGGTGAATGATGATGCTGTGTTTGTGGGCTAGAAGGAAATAGCTTTTGCACTGCAGGCTTGGTTCCTAAGGAGAAAGATATACTTTTCATCTTGGGATAAAGAGGGAAGGGCAAGTACTTGATATATGATTTTTGTTTGAATATGAAAAACTTCATTTATCCTTTGCATTTTGATTCTGGAAGCCATTCACGCCATCCCAAGCCACCTTTACCTATCTTCCACAAATCAACACAAAATCAAATATCATAGTGACATGACACTAAAAATACACTAGAAAACCAATAACCCCAACATGATTGCAATTATATATTTATTTGCTGCAGAATTTGTAGTATCAACAATTCATTATAATATCTGACAAGTATTGTGTTAAAAGAAAGTAAACCATGTTTATTCTTAAAAAGTCATGTTTGTCAATGTTTGTTTCCAGCTAATCCAGACCATCAGTGCAGTGGATAAAGATGATTCAATAGAAGGCCATCATTTTTACTTCTCTCTGGCTCAGGAGGCCACAAACAACTCAAATTTTACTGTCAGAGATAATCAAGGTAGTGTCATTCATGTAGCTTTTTAAAAATTCCTTCATGAAAGATTCATGCTTTAATAGTGCTCGCATCACCATTTTTATATAATCATCCACCCAAACAGAAATGTTCGGCATAAAGTTTGAAATAGAGCAAAAAAGTGTTATCATGAGCAAACTTTAATAATAATGCAATAACCTCATGCAGAAGAATTATTTTAGAATTTAAACATCCATAATCAACACAAGATAGTATTACAGAAAAGAGCAGAATACTTAGCACAATATCAAGAAAAAATAGATTTGTATTACTTTATAGTTAAATATAGCAAATGTTGAGGGACATTAATCTTAATTTGTCACATGGTGGTAAGGAAAGAAGAGTGTTTTGAAAATAGAATAGAGAAATACCATTAACTGGAGGTCACTCAGACTTAATCAAAGGTAGAATTATAAACAGAAGCACAATTCACAATTATATAACTGCATCCTGTTATAGTTAAATCTGTATGCATTGATTACTAATGACCTCATATGAAAGACGTCTCCAATGTTGCACTATTCTGGTATTGATCCAGATGCTTCAAATGAATAATCTAAGGGGTTACCAATCAAAACTAATTTGAAGGGAAAACATAAGTTTAACAGCTGGTGATATTACAGGAAAGGTGGCCAGTTCAAGTCAGTCTTCTGAGTCTTAGAAAAAGAGGTGTTTCAAACTCAACTAAAATACACATTGCATATATTGACATTGCTAATGATTTCAATGGTCTAGCAAGATGAATAAATCCATTGGACTAACTTTTGGAATGTTCACTCTATAGTAAAGAGGAAAGTAGTCTTCTTAATGTCTCTAAAAGGAAAGTCAATGTTTTAATACATACTTAAACTCTGGGTTTTCATCTGCCCTTTTACCCATGGCCTGCAGGTGGAATGTTATGGGCCCTTCCTGGGCAAGGGTCAAATTATGGATGACAAAGAATCCTGTCAGCTTTTATGCACCCTGCTAAAGGTCCAGGGACAGCTCCCCCCTGGAGAATAGGCACAGCTTCATCTGGGCACATCTACATAACGCAGAAGATCGACATTCCAGAGTTCAATCATCTGGTGTTTGATTTAGCGGATTGGTCATGGACCCATACACTGAACACTGAGGGCAGCTCCTGTCAGCATCTGATACTCCTCCTTCTGTGAGGAGTAACGGAAGCTGACGGGGGTGAGTGCTCCTGTCGGCCTCCCACTGCGCGGATGGTGCAGAAAGGTGATTTAAGATATGTTGACTCCAGCTATGTAATTAACATAGCTGGAGTTTCATATCCTATTTCAACCTTTTGCTATAGTGTGGATAGGGTCTCTGTGTGCCACTGAGGGCTGAAAATTGCTCAAATATGGAGGAAAGAGCTAAAGGTAAGTTTATCGCACTATCCCACAAATGAAGCTGGATACACTGGACCAGTTAAACCTAAGGGTGTGTCTAAACTACATGCCTCCGTCGATGGAGGCATGTAGATTAGACAGATCGGCAGAGGGAAATGAAGCCACGATTAAAATAATCGCGGCTTCATTTAAATTTAAATGGCTGCCCCGCTCTGCCAATCAGCTGTTTGTCGGCAGATCAGGCCAGTCTGGATGCGCCGTGTCGACAAAGAAGCCTTTCTTGATCGGCACAGGTATGCCTCGTGAAACCAGGTTTACCTGTGCCGATCAAGAA